CAAGTGCATCGGTTCCTGGTATTTCCCATTGCACACACACACACACAAACACACACACACACGTATCTAAATAAAAGTAAAGCGACGGTATTTTCCGTGCCATTAAAACCGAAACTACCTCGATACGCACTCATTTACACGGAATTGAAATCGCAGTGACCCTTTCGAAGATAAATCTGCATGCATTTCCTAATGGAAATTTTGTGGAACGATCTTGTCATCTAGATTTAGGATGAAGAAGTAAGCAGTAAGTATTTATAGGCCACACAAAATACAAGAAGACGGCTATTAAGACTACCTATGTACTTGGGATCACATAAAAGAGCATTTAATTTAATGATTGTGACGAATGGGCCAACACCAAATATCTGAGAAAATGCTGTTCTTGAATTTCGATTCAGTTGTACATCTTTTTGCAATCCATTCCAGCCAGACAAGTGTTACTACTTGTATAGGGCTGAAAATCACGACTCACCATGAATCATTTTACAAATTATTGGATTTGTATTATTTACTTTTGATTGCGATACTCTGAAATATATACATGCTCTTCGCCTGGGACCACATTCCTCGTAAGTTCTCTAAGCAGGCTGAGGAATATACTCGCATGTTATTGGGACATTATCTAATGTCAGTACATTTTTGTAAAATTGCACCACAAATTGGGAAAAAAATTAAAGAACATGATTTTTGGTTCAATATAGGTTTTCTGAATATGGTATACCTTCCATAGACTCTGAGCTGCTTAGTCGTCCCTTCACTCCGTCCATTTCCAGAAAGGTTTATTCGGGCCGAATTCAAAATAGTTGCTGTCGTTCAACTGAATTAAAAGTGAAATTGTACGTCAGAACAAGTCTAAATAGAATTCCTTTTAGTAGGAAATGATGACTGATTTTCTGCCACTATTAAAATATTAATTTCATTCTCGTTTTTTAAGAGGACTCGCCCGACTCTTTTATATCCACTGCCCCCTCTCAGTCTTTTATCAATGCATCACCTTTCAATAAATAAAAACTGAAATTGTACGTCAGAACAAGTCTAAATAGAATTCCTTTTAGTAGGAAATGATGACTGATTTTCTGCCACTATTAAAATATTAATTTCATTCTCGTTTTTTAAGAGGACTCGCCCGACTCTTTTATACAAGTATCCACTGCCCCCTCTCAGTCTTTCATCAATGCCCCTTCTTTCACCCCAAGCAGCTTATTAACGCTTACAGTCGCGTATGTAACTGAAATTTAAAGATTCCAAGTTTTAAGAAATGATTGTGTATTGCCCCTTTAAGCCAATCTATAAATAATGTGTGTTATGGGCTTGGAACAAGTGTGTCATTCATAAACCTCCTCCTCCCTGAGTCCACCTCCACCCTTCTTCCTTCGACATGACGTGGAGGAGTGCATTCAATCGTTGTTATACTCGTATACTTGTGTCCCATGCCAGGCATTACCTTTGCCAAGAATTTGCAATGCAAGTCTGTCCAAATTGAAAGCATTTGAGGCTGATGTTGATCCTATTTCAAACGTCAAGTTAGCTCGACACGATGCGATGCAAACCGGTGGGACTCGACTCGACTCGACTTCAACTACTTGACTGTCACATCTCAATAACCCTCGAGTGGTTTTCAATTGTCTCCAAAAATATATGCGCATTTGCATCCCCCAGCAGACGGGCACACACACACACACACACACACACACACACACACACACACACACACACACACACACACAGTATCGCATTTGAAATGTTAATTTTTAACGCTTTGTAAATTTTTTCTAATATCTCATCAAAAAAATAAAAATTGAAAAGCAAAGGCGAACGCGACGGCGAAGAGACTTTTGTCTCTGGTCGGGTCGAGACGGGACGGGACGGGACGGAAGGGGAGGCGAAGGCAGGGGAGGGGAGGGGAGGGGAAACAACCTTTTCGTGCCGTTGCCATCGCACGCTCTGGCACTTCAAAAAAAGTCACCCACTCTACTGGATGCGAGTGCGACTGCGAGTGTTTCGCCCGCCTCGTGACATCATCCAATTCAGAAACTTAAAAGTAAATAGATCCCAAGAGATGAGAGACATGCTCGCTTACTCGTACATACAAGTACACATATGTATGTACATATCTCTCTGTGTGTGCGTGTGTGTGTGTGTGTCTCAAGTGACATTGCAGCAAAGGATCATCTCATAATGTGGCAAGCGTTTAGCTGCCTGTCTGTTTGTCTGTTTGTCTGTCTGTCTATCTGTCCGCCTGTCTCCTTGTCTGCGCTGCTGTTTACTTGACTGCCGCTCTGACGGATTGGCTGAATGTTTATGTGGTTATGTATATTTGTTGTATGCGCCCTACTGCTCGCTGCCTTTCATATCCACATCCATATCCTTTGCCCCTGTCACTGCCAGAGTCTGAGTCTGGGCCTGGGACTGGGCCTGGAACTGAGCCTAAGCCTGGCGCTTGGCTCACTTCACCGCAACAACCACTTGACATTTTCACAGTCTCGCATTCGCATTCATGTCAATTTTGCGGTTTCGGTTTCACGCAACTATGCCCAGCACGTCGTCATCGTAGTAGGCGTGGGTTGGCTCCCAGCTCTCAGCTCCCAGCCCTCAGCACACTGAGGCCCAAATGACAAAGAGTGCGGCATTATGAGTGGCAAGCTCCATTATATACAACACATGCAAGCATTTACACATACAAGTATGCGAGTACATAGTAGACATGCATGTATTTGGGAATAAACACCACATGTCCGAGAGGAATCTGTTTTATTGTACTCATATGTATGTGGAATCTGGCCATAAGTGGCCTCAAATGCGAACTTATAATGTTGTCATTATGTGGCATGTGCCCTGACCAATGAATGCTACGGACTACATACTTGTATATACAAGTATATATATATATAGATATATACATACATGTATATAGAAGAGTGTACTCCGCTCAATGATGCTGCGTATGCTTGGAAATATTTTGTAAAAAGAAGAACTGCATGATGCGATGGATCGTAGTAATTTATAAAAATTAAGTATTTGGCTTTTAAATAATAATAAAATTTAAAAATTTATTTAAAAAATACAATGTAGAGTTTTTTTTTTAAGCTATATAAATGGAATTTAACCATTAAAAGATAAGAGATAGCAGCCTTTTCTTGATCAACATACTTCCTTACTCGGAGTTTAAACTGAATTTTATCCTTAACAGTGCTAGACCTCTGTTTTGGTTTCAATTAGAATAAAAACAAAGGGTAATATTACCTGAAATATATGTCATATAGTCGAACATAATTCCCAGCAGCCTTTTCTTGATCAACATACTTCCTTACTCGGAGTTTAAACTGAATTTTATCCTTAACAGTGCTAGACCTCTGTTTTGGTTTCAATTAGAATAAAAACAAAGGGTAATATTACCTGAAATATATGTCATATAGTCGAACATAATTCCCAGCAGCCTTTTCTTGATCAACATACTTCCTTACTCGGAGTTTAAACTGAATTCTATCCTTAACAGTGGTTTGGTTTGGTTTCAATTAAAATTAAAGGGTATAATTACCCAGTCGCATAGCATTACGAATTGATGCTACATCGAACATAATTCCCAGCTTGACCCAATAAGAAATCGGAGCGAATTCTATATTTGTATACATCTGTTTGTTTATTTTCCAAATTAAATGATTTATTACACAATAATCTCTAGGGGAGCCATATATGTATATTTATGTGTATATATATATATATACTACATATATATTTATTGTTTGTTGCGAGCAATAACATTTGTATATTTTCATTACACTTGCATGTGCATGTGTGTGTGTGTGTGTGTGTGTGTGTGAGCGCTCAAGTCTACACACACACACAGACAAACACAGCCACAGACACACACAGGCACATGCATTCTTAAGTACAAGCAGCACAAGGATATGTTGCATGGTGTTAGTGACACACACACGCATATACAGAGAGACACACGATGCACACAATGCACGGGTCCTCCGGGAGTGGTAGTAGGTTTGAGTGTACGATCCAAATACAATACCATAATTATTGACTATGAAAAAAATTGCATTAAAATTACATAATGGTACATAGTTCATATTAATATTAATGTTATTATTACTTTATTACTTTAGTCAAAAAAAACCATATTTATATATATAGTACTATATATGTGTATATATTTAGACATATAGTTCAATGCTTCGTTGTACAGCGGACGCTGGCCGTGCGAGTTAGAGAGCAGGGGAGACACGCAAGTCTCTGTTATCCCATTAGGCTACACAGTCAGAGACCATTTAAAATATACACACACGCACACACACACACACACGCACACACACACACAGCCATAACTCACACACACACACCCACACATGAGCACTGAGGAACGGGTTAAATACTTTCATAACATAATCGTGTTGTCAAAAAAAAAATTGAAAAAAAAACTTAAAAAAATATTTCTTACACAGTTAAAAAGCTATAGCTATAGTCGATATATAGTCGAGATAAAATCGTGAGATGCACATTTTCGCTAGCTCTACATGCTTCGGTTGCAGTTCAGAGTGTTGGGATGTTGATATTGAGAAGAAAACCTCTCAGGTGTTACAATCAAAACAATAGGACTTCGGATCGGGAAAAACTAGCATACAAGTATATACAAATATATAGATAAAGAATTATTGAAATATCATACGAGTTAGAGTGTTTTTTTTTTGTTTTTGTTCTTCAAACCCGTTTAAAATATATTCGATTTTATCGTGAATATCAACATCCCTCCCTTCCTAGCATAAAACGAGATTTACAATATTCTTCACCCATTTTATGGGCATTTCCTCTTGAGCTGATTTTTCATCTTCTTCTTCTTCTTTTCGTTCGGTTTTGTCTACCAGAAGTACGGCTTGCCCGTAAGAAATGAAAGCTAAGCCCTATACGCATTATAACTCGATCTGATCCGATCACCCTAGGCGCTACACTCTGCACTCCATTCGAAATTCCAGCGACATGGCCTCCGGTTAGACAGAGATGGCCGCATTGGCGGCATTACTGGGCGGAACTTCATTATATTGCTGCTGGGATTTCAGATTGTTGCTGAGCAGCATGGAGCGATAGACCTCGGAGAGTAGATTCCACATGGGTGGCGATTCCTTGGGCGGCAAGGTAGCACCCGGGGCTGCGCTCAGCTCCAGGGGTAAGACCGATGCAGGAGCTGAAGCTGAAGCTGAGGTGTTCGTGGGCGGTTGTGGTAAGAGGGCCGCGGAGGCGGCGGCTGAGGCGTTGGCATTGGCAGCTGCGGCCGCGGCCGCAAACATTTGCGTTTGCAGGAGCCGGAAGTGGTGGTGTTGTTGCTCCTCGGAGCCAAAAAGTAGCGCTTGTGGTGGCTGGCTGAGATTCTCCGGGCTTTGTGGCGAGGTTGCGGGCAAAGTGACGGGCAGATGTTTTCTCAGGTCGATGCAGCGCGCGTCTGGACTGTGGGCCAGCGGGTGGACTGGAGCATGGATGTGGGCGTGACCATGGGCGTTGGAGTGGGCATGGGCATGGGCATGGGCTTGGGTGTGAGAATTTGAGTCGACGCTGTCCTGTTCAATGTCCAGCTCCATCTTGATGCTGATGGCGTGGGAATCCTGCGACGAGGTGACGCTATTGCTGTTGTGTCGCCTCCGCTTGCCCAGCAAGCTGTCCATTGAGAAGCCACTGCTGTGTAGGGAGGATGTGGGCGGGGAGCTGGGCGAACAGGGGGCTTTCACAGATGAGTCCGCTGAGTCCTCCAGACGACGTTTGTGGAGACTAAAGTCAAGCGGTTGCTCCGCATCATTGCTGGTGCAACGCATCTGTGCGTCATTCCCCTGTTCATCGTCGTCGTCCTCATCCTCCTGATAGTCGTCCTCCTCGCCACGGCTTTCCACATCGCACTGTCGCTGTCTGCTATTCATGCTGGCTGCCGGTTGGCCGGCTTCTGTGGAGCGACTGCAGTCAATGTCCTCTCTGGTTGTATTCGCCTCGGCATCTTCGAGCTCGCGACAATAATCCTCCGCCTCCTCGCTGGCAGGGCTGCCTGTGGACGTATTGGCCATGTACATGTACATGCCTTCATCATCAACATCGGCGTCGGCATCGCCATCGCCATCGGCATCCACATCTGCGTCCGCATCTTCATCGGCTTTTGAGCTGTTGCTGTTGTTGCCATGGTGGGTTGTGAAGAGATGCTCCTGTCGTCCTGCCAGCAGACTATGCAGCGCTGCTCCCGGCTGGCCTCCGAACTCTCCAAACATTACAGCGGCCGCTGCTGCTGAGGGATGTGTGGGCACATAGCCAGGAGCAGGCAAGAGGCCAGGGAAGGCGGGCAGACGAGCCGCCGCCGCCGCCGGCGGAATCGGAAACACTGGAAACTGTTGGGCCGTCCGTCCATCGTGGGGCGAGATCTTGCGGCGTATGTGCGGCGAATGCAGCTTGGGATTCGGATTGGCACTGTGACGATTACGCGAGCGTCTCGAACTGAAGACCATGTTGCAGCCCTCCACCGTGCATTTGTGCATCTCACGGAGATGGACGGCCGAGAAGTGAATCTTGAGGGCGCCCTTGTCGCAGAAGGTCTTGAAGCAGATGGAGCATTGAACGCGCTTCTTGCCCGTCGCTGGATTGATGAACTGGCCAGCCAGGTTGATGGGTGGGGAGCCCCAGCGCTTCGGTTTTGAAGAGCCGCCGCTGCCGGTGCCGACGGCAACGCCGCCGCCGGGCGATGTGGCTGGCGAGGTGGCCACAGAATGGCCGGCCGTGTGGCCCAACAAATAAGCGGGCGGTATAAACGAGTTCATAATGTGCTCCATGCTGGTGTTCGGAGCTGATTTTAGGTGTTTGGAGCTTGATAGGTGGCTGCAAAGAATCAGAGAAGGGGATAGCCAAGTTAATAAATGATTTGAGAAGAGAGAAGGAAAAACGAATAAATGTTTAAAAGCAAGTAGTCCAGTCTAGTCTGAACACAATTCTTTGAGGGCAGTCATCTCGTCTGCCATCTCTTTAAAGTTTCTCACAATGCTGCTCTCTGAGGGGTACATGTTCGCTAATCCTTGACACAATCGAATTCCAAGCAGCTGAAGCAAGGGAAGAGGGGGTGGGTCGGACGTTCAGCTATAGCTGCAACTATCAGTCTATTTCCAGTCAATCAGTCAGTCAGTTAATAAGTCAGTTAGTCAGTCAGTCAGTCATTCGGTCAGTCAGCAACATTAACAAGAACAAGAACATAAAAATTCCAATTCATATCAGTGTTGGCACTGTGTGGACGAGGAATCAGAAGCAAAGTCGGGGTCGGGCTCGGAGTCGGGGTCGGTCTCGGAGTCGGAGTTGGGGACGCCTTCACGACGAAGGCAACGCACCGTTAGCTGCTCAGTGAATCGTGTGACAGCTCAAGTAGGCATCATCGACTGCCACTGTCAACCAAACTGCTCCAAACTTCAAGTTGCCAGGCCTAGGCCTAGGCCTTGTGTTCGCCATCGCCCTCGCCCTCCACCCTCATCCACACCCACACCCACACCCCTCTTTTCCAGCTTGTTTTCTTCGTTTTCGTTGATAAATCCGATTGCCAGTTGTAGAAACTTTTTGCACTGTTATCGGTACAGTGGAGCCACATACCACATACCACTCGCCCCCACCCCTCGCCCATAGCTGGGCTCTCCTTGATAGTAGCGGTCCAGTTGCTGGCTGCTTGCCTGACAGGCTTAACACAGATTTGACACGCAATTAAAGCAATAGGTTAAGGGTCAAACGCTTGCGATTGACACTCTCTGATACACAAACAAACAAACAAACAAACACATACACACACACACACACGCGAGTAAAGTAAATGTTTTCCAACTATGTACGAGTATGTGGACAAGTCTGTTCTACATATGACATGATTCTGGCAGGTGAGTGTTGTAATATCAGAAGTCTTCCAACTCCAATTTAATTAAAATGTGCAATAAGATTTGATAAAGAATTAGCAGTTAGAGTGCGATAAATCGGAACACAAATATGGAAAAGATTAGTATTAACTGGATGGGAATCTGAATCATTCAATCTAACATACCTAACAGTTGGAATATGGTTTCTAAACTGAAGTTTGCTGAACTATTTATCAGTTTAATATAGTCTCTATAGAATACGTTTTCCAAACTGAAGCTTACTGTACTATTTATCATTCTCAATACTTCTCTATAATTATTAAAGTTCGGGAAAAAGTCGAATGTTTTCCAGCATAGATTATTTCACTTGCAATTCTGATTTGTAGTTGTTGGAAGAATCTTAAACTTTATCGGGGAACAGTCTGTACACTGTACCAGTTCGATTAGATCACTAATTTTGAAGAGTTTGCAGCAACCAGATATTACAATAGAGATGACCGAAACAAAGCCCCCTGTACTATAGTATGAGTTATTTGTCAACTCGCCTTCATTTGCCAAGAAATAAATCGATAAAGCGCAATGCTATAATGGCACGCAGTTGTTCATTTTGTTGCTGTTGTTGTTGTTGTTGTTATAGTAGTAGTTGTTGTTGTTGCTGCTGCTGTCGTTACCTTTCCAATTTGGTTCATCGAAATCTTTTACAGCTTTGTGTGTGTCGCTTGATGAATGATCCATGGCATGGGGGTCATTAAAAATGCGGCGACATGCGGCGAGCAAACGACAAACGACATGACGACCAAACTTAAAAGATACTTCAGATCGAGATTGGTTTTAACTTGGAAGCTGGCCAAGCCGAGACGAGCGGAGCGAAGACAAGAAAAGACCAGCCAGCCGGCCAAAATGTTGACCAAGCTACTGCGATCGGCGACCAAATCGTAGTTGATGTCGACAAAAACAATAACAAATACGAGTACGACAACAACAAAAAACCAGCGTGCTCTTGTTGTTGTTGTTGTTGCCACTGACTGCTGAGTTTTTATTGCTGTTGCTGTTGCGGTCGCCGTTGCCGGAGCTACCGTAATTGTGGAGAGCACCGCAAAAATGCCGCCGACTGAAGCTACTGCTGCTGACGCTTAAGCTGAGGCTGACGCTTAAGCTGAGGATGATGATGATGAAGGCGATGGGGACAATTGTTTAAACGAAAAAAAAAAAAAAAAAGACGATGAAGCAGAGGAAGAAGAGAGGTAGAGCCAAGCTAGAGCGACACCCAAGCAAACGACTTTGCCAACATGAAGATCGTCATCTTCGTCATCTTCGTCATCATCGTCATCATCGTCATCTCTGCCGTCGTCGTCACCATCACCATCACCATCGCCGTCGCAAGTTGTACCGCTTTGCTGCTATCTGGAATCAATCTTAAAAGTCGAACACATTCGTTTGGCGGCTGGCGATCCAATGTCAGCTTACATACGAGTACATGGCAGACAAATGGAGTTTTGGGGCACATGTGTATACACTTGTTCAACTAAATAGACACACACACACACACACACACACACTTACATACATTCCAACAACAACAATAATAATAATAACAACGGGCGAAACAGCAGCATCAAGTTGCGATGCTTGCAGGTTTTATAGGCTCATTAGTACGATAACATTAACAGACGCCGTAACTACAAGTATGTATGTACACTACTCGTACAAGCGTACATACATACAAGTAAATGCCACATACAACTATGCATGGAGACAGTGCACATTCGCTAAGCTGGACAGTGCTTATAGAACATACATATGAATGAATCGTCACTTGAATCAGAGCTGGGACGCTTTTAAAACAAACGAAACAATTACGAAACAGTTTTTTTTAATAAGAAAAATGGAAGTATTTGCTTCGAAATTTAATTACCAGCCAAGTCTATTTGAATTTACATTAAAAAACTTCCTTTTTTAAGCTCGAAAGTCAAACCGAAAACATTAGCAATTCATTTAATTTATTTGCTTCATCGAGTCCTCACGTAGCATAAGACAGAAGCAGTGAAACCCCATTCGAGAATTCTAGAATTAATGAATGTGAGGAACAAATTAAATATTGCAAATAGTGTCCATTCATCTATTGGATTCAAAATTAAACACCTCCTATCTTAATTTGAAACTTTATATTCAATTGGATTCAAAATTGAACACCTCCTATTTTAATTTGAAACTTTCTATTTAGTTGTTTTCTTGACTTGCCTGTTTTTTGTACATACAAGTATTTGTATTCTTTATGGAAAGAATTATTATGCTTAAAGAAATATTACTTTATTGCATAAAAATATTCAACTCTATTATACAAGTACTCGAACATTTCCTAAGAATGAAAACTGCAAACTGAAACCAGTTCGAGAAACGGAAAAATCTTTTGTACTTGACATTTTTTGAATAATTTGAACCGAAAGCGACAGCTTATCCATAAGCTTAACTTGTGCTATGTTTAGTTGCTTTTAGCAAATCCCCACTGTATTTTTCTGTATGCAAGTCTTTTCTTCGTCTGTACAAGTATGTCCGCCTGTCTGTAAGTTTGTCCGTTTTTTGTGCTTTTGTATGTTTGCAGCTATGCCTGCATGTATGTAATTATTTTTGTCAAACGCTTAAAATGTCTTAAGCTCGACTCTTAAGTGCCCGGCAGCAACAGCTAACAACAACAACAACAGCTAACAACAACAGCTAACAACAACAGCTAACAACAACAGCAACAACAGTACAAAAACCAATCACAATTTTTGATGGCCGGCCGATCGTTTTTTGATTATCGGCATGTTGAAAGTCAAATTCCAAGAGAGAGAGATAGAGAGATGGGGAGAGAGAAGCGCAGTTGATGCTGTTATTGTTGTTGTTGTTGTTACTACTAGATGTATGTACAAACAAACATATGTACATATGTACATCGCACTCGTATATACATAATAAGCAACAATAACGTTCGCCTCAATGTTTTCGACAGCCGAACAACTAACAGAGCAATGAACGCATGATGGTCAGAGAAACAACAACAACAACAACACCAACAACATATATACATCGTCTAAGCGACAGCAACATTTGTATCTCATTACTTGCACAACCATTTAGATTTTTAGTAAAAAGACAAAATCTTAATTACGTTTAAACGCTGCGAATAAAAAAAATCACAATCGCTCGCCCCAAACTTTGATTTCTAAGAAACTCTTGCGAATGATAGTTGTATACATACATACATACATACATACATATGTATGTATATATTCCCTCTGGCCCATTGGTCGTCCTCTAGGTGCAGGTCAGAGACAACGGTTCAATGGTTCAACAGAAACAACAACAAAATGTGCCATTGTTTTGAAAACGAGCAGCGAAAGGACTGCAAGCAACAAATAGACAAAAACGAGTCCAACTATCGACTATATTGGCCATTCCAATCGCATCAGATCGGGCTATGAGGCAACAAACACAACAACAAAAAGTGGCCGGCAAGTCTTAAGTAAGAGCTTGTGGGCAGCATTGCCGACGGCTAAAAGAAAACTCAACTTCCCCCTCTCATATTCTCGAATTTGCACAATGATGGGGAAAAGCGATGAGATGATTCGATAAGATAGTATATACATAATAATCGAACATGAACGTTTTGAAATCTATAACAAGACAAAAGTATTGCAAATCGAAGGTACAAGTAATTCCCCAACATCATTGCATTTTTGTCTTTCTTTGAGTTTGAAATTTCTTCTTTTTCCATTTTAATTTAACATTTTTAAGCGAACAATTTAGAAGAGTTTTGCATATTCCATCTTCAAATTGGAAAATTGATCACAATAAATAACAAAAGTTCAACCGAAAATATTGGCACGTATACTATTTAATCTTTTAAATGGTAGAACAGAATTCTTAATCAAGCCGGCAATTTCGTTTTCAATGCAACAGTTTCATTTCTCCACATCGGAATTGAATTTAATTTTTCTACTTACATTTTCGAATAAATTTATTGATGTTTTCGTACTCGAACTCGGTCGGCACTGAGAACTGCCTGCTGTCTCTTGTTGTAATTGTTGTAAAATTGTTATTATTGTGGAATTGCACACGTCACAAAGTCGAATGTGTAAAAAAAAATTGTTAAAATGTTAGCCAAGCGGCGGCATAATATTTTGATTGAAAAAGTTTTGCGTCTGTTCACTGTTTGTTTTTATTTTTCACGTTTCTTTTTCGTGCACTTGTATTTTTTATTTTATTTTTTTTTTAATAATATTGGACTGGGTCTGAGTTCACGTTGTTGTTATTGTCGCGCAGCACAAGAAGTAACAAATTTGTTTGTTTTTGGCTGGCCAGGAACGTCGTCGATAGTCACAACACACTCAGAGAGACGACAACGACGACGACAATATACAGACACAGTCACGGGCACACACACTTATGCGCGACAGCGAACAATTGTTGCCGTAAGATCCACTCCTTCGAAAGTCGTGGGTGACACTGATTGCTGTGCAGGCGGCGACGAGGTTGCGAGGTTGTGTGTGGCTCAACAAAAAAAAAAATTGTAACGACGACGGCGACGACGCGGGCGACAAATGCGACAGCAGCGACGTCGTCAATACGTACGCACAGGCGACAGCAGAGGACAGCAGCAGCAGCAGCAGAGACAATTCACACACACACACACGCACTTACGCTCAATCTCAATGGGGTGGGTGACACTTCGACTTCGTAGTCGTAGTCGTCGTCGTCGTCGTCGTCGCTCTCAGCTCGAAACAGCGACGGCGACGGCAGCTACAGATACGCAGCAGCGGGCAAGTTCAACGCAACTGCCCCACAAATGTCTGTCTACCTGAAAGCAGCCGTAGCAGCAGTAGTAGTAGCAGCAGCAGCAAGAGCCAAGCAGTGTGCGTGTGAGAGAGTGTGAGTTGATGAGAGAGCGCTCACTAGAATTGGTTGTCTGTTCAGTGTGTCTTTCTGTATGTGTGCGTTCGTGTGTATGTCACATTGTCATCATCATCCGTTGGGTCATCCGAAATTCACTCACACACCCGCACCAATTTGAATGGCGTTCTGTCAAATACGTCGGCTTTCTCTTTCGCACTTTTGCCTACATTTGTATTGACCCTCCTGCTCACTTGCACTTCATAGCAGGGTTATAGTAACTGAGTCAGTCGATAATGCAGTGCGAAACAGTAAGATTTTACTCTTATTCTCTTCAAAACTAATTCTCTTTGATGGTAAGACAAAAATAATATAAAACTATGCATAACTAATTAATCCAAACTTTTTGCCGTGACAATAAAAAATCCGGGGCAATAAAAACAAAAATACGAGGTTGCAACAATTAAACCAATTACCAACACCTGCTCTCTTTGCTAGAAAGCGCCATATGCTCTCTCTTTAGGCTTCTTGAGAATTTTGGGGCGGGGGCGTTATTGAATCTTACTGGAGACAATGTTTTTTTTATATATACATATTTAAATCCCAGCTTAAATACAAGCCAGTATGGCACACACACACACACACACACACACAAACTGTCATATATGTAAGTATATATGTAAATATGTACATGCATGTCATACATAGAATTTAAAAATATAAATACATATGTATGTACATATGTATGTAGGATTGTATGTATGTACATTGTTCGTTGTACCAACAACGGCGACACCAACCACAAAATCAAATGGCAGTTGCTCGAACATGCTACTCGCACTTGTGGCCTATTGGCAACATTTTGGGCTATTAGCTATTTCGCTCGCACAGTGTCGTCTGAGTGGACGACGACTACGACGACGTCGGCAGCGTCGACCGATGTGGGTTGACATGCGACGTATTTGCGTGAGTGACCGACACAAATGAGAAGCCTAGAGGACACAAATACAGATACTCGTTAATGCTCACACACACACAGACACACACACTCACGCATATCTCACGCACCTTTACTCACGCTGCTGCTTTGCTTTTGTTTTTTGTCCATTGTCATTGTACATTTGTGTGCGGTGCTCACCAACCAAAGAGCCCCGAGTTGCGCTCTCTCGCGCCGTTTGTGTGTATTGGTGTTGGTGTGTCGCCTATTAGCCAGTTCGCGTGTGTGACAGAGCTAAAACGAGTTGGCTGCTCTTCTGATGTAGATGTGTTTGTGAGTTTGAGTAGCTCCCATCATTTGTTCGAATGAAATGGCAATGGCCAGCGAAGCCAATTCTTCGTTGTCGTTGTTGTTGTTGTCGTTCTCATCGATGTCTTTGTCGCAGTCGCAGCGCTGCCGACGTCGCTGCTGTTGCTGCTGTAAATGTGTATGTGTGTGGGTAACTTACTTGAAATTGCTGCCTTCGTTTTCATCTTCGTCTAATGTTTCTGTTGCTGCTGCTGTTGTTGTATTTCTTGTTATTGCTCTCTGCCTTTGCATTTGTTGTTGTCGCCTCCATCGTCGTCGTCGTCGTCGTTGTCGTCGTCGCCTTCGTCTCCAAAACGTTTTTTGGTTGATTTTTTCTCGTTCTTTAAAATTTTTGTCATTTGATGTCGTCGTCTCATCGTCCACTGTACTAAATGTGTGTGTGTCCGTCTCTTTTTGGTAAACACCAATGAAATGGGCTGCAAGTGTACATGTGTGTGTGTGTGTGAGCACACACCTTCCGCTTTGCAGCAGGCGACGACGGCGACGACTTTGCTTTACTGGCTATGCGATTGCGCCACAAATTGTGTGGCTGTATTGAATGTGTATGTATGTGTGTATGTGTATCAGTGTGTTAGTCTGTGCATATATGTGTGTGTGTGTGTGTGTGTATGTATATACATACACCATTGGTGTCACACGACACTTTGTGAACATGGGGGCGATTTTTCCTGTCTCCTGCACCAATGGTATTTGAGCATTCGCTCTGGTGACAAAGGCACGAAGTCGCCGTCGATGGTCGGTCGACAGTTTTACTGGTGGCTTTCTCGACTTCTTGTTGTTGTTCTTTGTCTTCTTTTTTTCAGTTTTTACATACACATGCATGTTCTATATACATGCATACATACATATGTACATACATAGGTATGTATGTATGTAGATGAAAGAATACGTATGTATGTATGTACGCAAATGAAAGCGCTTACAACAACGTTTATTTACATACTTATGTACTATAAGTACGTATGTGTGTCTGTACATATATACACATGTATGTACATGTGTGTTTTTAGGATTTATTCTAAAAATGGAGGACAAACACATAATGATTATCATTTGTATGCTTGTATGTACATACATAAGTACGTTGCATTCTTATTTATATGCTTACCTATTTATACACAAATATAGATACTTCCAAGGCATGTTTATAAATTCATACATAAATACATTTGTACATATGTACATATGGCTATATGCTCTGCATTTTCTTAAAGCACCTTAAAGCATTTCTTGTGAGATGCTTTATAGGATTCTCTCGTATGTTAAAGTTTGTCGATTTTCCGTATCTGCATACTAAATTAATTATCCCACAGCACACACAGATATGTACATACATACATAGTTCATTAAATTTACCCAATTCATAGCTATGTATTTCAGAAAAGTCTTTATAGCTCTCTTTTCGTTTTAATTGCTCACATTTAGGCCTTTATTTAAATTAAATTACACAAATTGCCTGCCGATTCCTTTCAGCGACTTGGTCAAAGGACATCAAATTGAAACCCCTATTTAAGGATTAAAAGAGAACTTCCATTACATACAAATATATTATATCTATGTATGTACATACATATATAAACGTACATATGTATGTATAAACTCAAACGTACCTTGCAGTTGTTTCATTTACAGAGTGTTCATTCCCTTCTAGTTCCACTGTTTTTCTTACAAAAGTTGGTATTTATTTACATACTAAAGAACAAATCATCAATTCAATATTAAAAGCTATTATTTAAGTAAAAGGAGATATAAGTTATTGATCTGATCAAAGTAATAAGAAGTTTTAGAATACGCTGCGTATACGTAATACAAGTAACTTGAAGACATTAAACATTTCAGCAGCACCTACCAAGAAAGTGATAGTTCTGCTTCTTAAAGTTGAAATTCAATTGGAATTGTGCAGAGCTGAGCTACACTATTATTTTCTACTAAATTTATTTATACTTTATTTTAGTGCTCGAGGTTGGGCTATTTTATATTTGTAAAAATGTATTGTTAAGGTGCTAATCTGAATGCACGGCTTCAATGCTTTGATTAAACAGAAAAAATAAAATAAAACTTTATTTAGGTGTCGCAAGCCAATTTATGGTTATTTATGGACTTAAAAACTAATCTCGACCGATTTTAATGCCTTTCTCCCATCAATTACCGATTTAAAGACATATCTGTTAAAGAAGCAAAACCCATTAACATTAACAATTTTTTCAAGTTTAGGCAAACAATTGAAACATAATTTTTTAAGAATATTTATCAAATACTATTGATATTTGAACTTTGAATAGAAATGGGTGTAAATTAAGAGCAATAATGTCTTTGGGAAATACTTGTATGTGTTTCTATTCACACAAGCCTCTTCGGGAGTTCACAATTCTCGGGGGGACGGGACAAATGAAAATGTCTACAAAAGCCCGCTTGCATTTTCCGAACTAGTCAACACTTTCGTTTTCCCTTTCTCTTCTTTTGTGCGGAGCGAGGCTGCTTTCATTAATCACAAAAAGGGGGGGGGGGGGGGGGGGAGAAAAAAAAACTCTTTTTAGTTTAAATAAATAATTGCTATCTTATTATTCCGATTGTCGTTGCCATCAACATCAAAATCGACAACACCGTCTGGGGCTGTCTGACATCGTTTATGGCCCTAACAGTGCCGACAATTCCAATGTTCTTTATAAACAGCAACAACAACAACAACACCAACAGCCACAGCGCCCTGCCCTTTGGCGACGGCTAAGTTGATGGTTAGGGCAAAGGCGATGGCGAGGGCGAAGGCAAAGGCAAAGGCGAAGGCGACGTTGCACGAATCGATCAATCATTTTTCACACTTCGTCCGGCGACCACTGTCCAATGTTCGAGGCTGAAACCAAAGCAAAAGTCGAGGCCCTGTGGAGTAGTTCGAATTTTCAAATTGACTATAGATTTCTTTTTCATTTTTTTGTTTTTGTTGCTGC